GTCACAATTATAGAATATATACTAGTACATACAATATACCAAATAAGCAAGTAAAGTACTAAAAATAAAGAGTTTAAAGTTTAGAAAATTGCAAACACAATATATCATGGTTTAGTCACCACCACTTGTGACCTCTGTCTGGACTAAAGTCGACCGATGAATTCTTTCACTATCTGTCAAGCTTCATGAGTTATTACAAACCACTCCAACCTTCAAGCTTCCAGGTGCTTGGAAACCTTGCAACCAACACGTTTACGGGTACTTGACAATCTTATAATTCTCTCCAAAATTTTTTAGGTATTTGGCTACCTTTCAGACTAATGGGTTTCACAACCCTTTTAACTCAAGTATACAGGAATAAAGTATTTGAAAATAAATATACACTCTCAAAGTGTAAATATACAACTTGAAGCACTATGAGCATATGAATTTTCATAATATGAGCTCAAATATATGTAATATTTAAAAGATATGAAAGACTATGTAAATGACAGTGTAGAAGCTCTCAAATTATCTTTAAGGTGTATAACAATGATGATCAAACTTTTTTAGAGGCATAAAGAATATATTTATAGTGATTTTGTTCAAAACTAGTCGTTTATAATCGTTTATAGCCATTGTAGACATACTAGCAAGTAAGGATTCAAATCCTTGCTTCTGGGAACAAGGGATTCGAATTCTTTCAAAATGGATTTGAATTCTCCCCTTACAGTAAGTGGAAAATGGCTAAAAGTACAAGTTTTTACACTTCATTTCACTTTCAAATGGTTCCTAACATTATAAGAACATATAATTATCTCTTTGAAAGATGTTTATAAAGTTAAAACATGGTACTAACATGTTGAAATCATTTTCTAAACCGTATTGACTCTTATGCCTGAATTTCACAAATGGAAACTAATATGATTCAAAACATTGGCTCTTTACGGTTAATTTCTAGTCGGGGTTTGTTGGGCAACTAGGGGAGCCCATGGTAGGTATTAGCGGGCTAATTGGTAATCCACAATAATAATTGGGCTCAACAACGCAACTTAACTCAAAATCTTAAGGCATTAGGTTTATGAGTCATTTCATTTATATGGTCATCTCACTTAGTCTATTCCTAACCAATGTAAAACTTCACCACTAACACTTGGATTTTCAACATTCTCCCCCTCAGGTTTAAGTCCCAAGCCTATATCCTCTTCCCCTCAAAGGGAATCTTCTTTTAGTATTCATGGGTTACATCAAGGCTTGATTATATTCATAAGTCCATCAAACCCAAACACTAACCACCCTATCCAAATACTTAGTTCTCACATGTCAATCAACCATTGGCTCATTATTGAGCAATAAGGGATCCCATGGTAGGGAAAGAACTTTCATCAATGGGCATTAGATTTATGAATCTTTTCATTTATATGTTTAATGCTTAGCTTATTCCTTCCTAGTGTAGGACTTTGAGCCCGTTTGGATGGGCTTTTTTTCTTCAGAAGCTGTTTTTTTTTTATAAAAAAAAAAACACTTCTTGAAAAAAGTCTGTTTGGATGCCTGCTTTTAAAAAAAGCAGAAGTCATAAAAAAAGTCAAAAACCTACTTTTTTCAAAAGTTAAAAATTTTAGCTTTTAAAAAAAACATAAGTCAAAAGTCAAATATTTTTTTCAAAAAATAAATATTTTTTAAAAATATAAATAGTTGTAACTTTTATAAAAAGTATTTTTAAAATAAGGAAGTGATAAAAAGGACTTTCTTCGAAAGTCAATACAAACGACCTCTTTATCACTTACCGGGAACAACTTTATCACTCTATTACCACTATTGGGCAATAAGGGATTTCATGGTAAGGGTGGAACTTTCATCAATGGGCATTAGGTTTATGAGTCTTTACACTTATATGTTTAATGCTTAGCTCATTCCTACCTAATGTGATTTTATCACTAACACTTGAATTTTCAACAACCTGCCCTTCAAGTGTGAGTCTTACAATTGTCAACTCTCTCTTAAAAGGGGAAACTTTTTTGAGTATTCATAGGGTTATCAACTAAGAGTGGGCAAGTCTTGGTTCCACAATATGGGTTTACCGCAATTTATAAACCCGAATTCCAACCTCCATCTCCAAATACATGACCCAGCCAACCAATCAATCATTAGCTCTAATACCACGTAATACGTAGTGGTCTGAGGGAGCCCAAAATAAAGGAGACTATCATTCAGGCATCATTAGGACTAAGCATCAACCCCATAATAAGTGAACCCAACATCATATCTCAACTCAAAACCTTAAGGTATTAGGTTTTGAGGTTCTTTCACTTATATGTTCAAGACTCAACTCATTCTATCCTAAAGCGAAACTTTATTACTCATGGTTGAATTCTCATCATGATTTAGTGTAATTCAACATCAATTCACATATATTCACCACCTCCCTAGTATGGGCACTCAACTCAAAGTGTCCGTGTATTTAGTGAAAAATAAATAATCATAATTTTGTATGATAAATGTTGCTTATGTCTACAATATATACTCAATTATTTACTTAAACGTAAAATAATTATATAAAAATAAGATAACATAAGTAATGTTTCCAAATTTTATTGGGAGATGTAAGAGTGAGTGCGAAAAATAATTTGTGATTAATGGAATAAGATATATATTTGATATGTGTGATTGAATGGAGTTACATGCTATTGAATGAGTTTTTAGATCTTGTTGTGATTTTATGTGTATTTGATCTATATTTTGATTCAATAAAACTAGATTATTTGTGTTTAGCGTGGAGTAAGACATGTCCAGCCTAATTAATGAGGATTTATATTTTGTTGTCCATAATGATAGTGAAGGTATCTAATATGGAGATAATAAGAACCCTAGGTCAGCGAGCTAATATCAAGGGTGAGTGTGGTGTCACTTGTAAAGTGTGAGGGGTTGGGAATTCTGGGTGTTGAATGCAGAGGTGAGTTTCCAAAGATGAATGTGTATGAATTGCGAGTGAGTTCCTTAGGATATATAGGAGGAGTGTGAAGGTTGAGAGGATAGTGCGCCTAAGAGGTGGTTCTACAAGTGAATAAGATATAATCATATAATATGAGTGCATATCGTCAGAGAGAAAAATTGAATGAGGCAAAGGTTGGGCTACTACCCGGTTGATGGGTGAGGAGCAAGTTCATATCAAAAACTGTCCATTTAAATTTGGATGTGGTTGGGATCCAACTCCCAGCAACGAGCCCAAAACAATTTAAGTTTTGCGTTTTGACTTTTTTACTTGTAGATGATGATGAATTAGGATTATTAGGTTATAATTACGTTATTTGGGATGACATTATGGAAAGATGTCATAAATGGTCAAACAAAAATGAGTTTTTTATTTTAATATTTTGCAACAATTAAGATAAAAATAAAATTTAACTTGACTAACCAAAAGAGAAATTAGTACAACTAAGATCTCAATTCAGATTAAGGGTGTGCATGAGTCAAATTGAACCGAATTTTTTGAAAAATTGAACCTAATTGGTTTAAACCAATTCGGTTCAATAAAACAAACATTTTTTTTTACCCCAAACCGGTTTGGTTCGTTTCAATTTGGTTTGAAACCAGTTCAAGTCGAACCTATTCTGAAAAGAAAATAAATAAATAAATAAAGTAAAAAATTAAAGAAGCCACTAAAAAATAAATAAGAAAAATAGAGAAAAAATATAAATAAAAAAAGAAGAAGAGAAAAAGAGGAAAAAAAAAATTCCGTTCTTGAATTGGTTTCTAAAAATCAGTTCGGTTCTTGAATTGATTTTTAAAAACCAGTTCGGTTCATGAATTGGTTCTTTAAAATCAGTTATTCTAAATGCAATTCAGTTCAGTTCACAGTTAAATTCAGTTTTTTGGTTCTTTTGTACACCTCTAATTCGGGTGGAGTTAGTTCAACGGTCAGATCAGATACTAGTCAAACAAATCTTAATCTAATTCGATTTTAGTTATAATATATAACTATTTATTTTAAAATAATATTTTTTATAAATTTAAACAATTTAATAATTATAATAGATAATTGTAACATTTTAAAACTAACATACTGATCCAATCTATTATTGGTTAGCCTTTTTTTGAGCTAGGCCAAATCAAACCTAATCATATGAAAGTACCTTGTTTTTTTTTTTTTTCAATTCTATTAACATGTATATTTTGTGGAGTTGCAGGGCCAAGAAGTGTTCGATTATGCTCTTTACAAAGGTTGTCGAATTACATCATGTATCGTTTGACCGATTTTTTGTATTGTGTATCACGAATCGTATCGAATCGTAAGATACAAAATTACAACAAAAAAGTAATTTAAAAATATATAATATAATTAATATCGTATAAAACCAAATTCCAAAAAGGATCCAATAAGTAAAATACATAAGTGACTAATCTGCAAACTAGTTATTCTCCTACTCATCAATCATTAAGATTAATATTATCACTACTATCACTATCAACATCTATCAATGACATAACTACTCCATCATTATCTTTATTAGGGTAATCATTTGACTCGTCTGTCATTTCTCATTTGACTCATCCTCTGAATGATTTTTAAAAATTAAATTTTTCTTCCTTCGAGATTAAAGAGATTTAAAATATTTATTTAATTATTTTCTTTATTAATACAGATTTTTCAAATTAAATTTTGAATTTAAATCACAAATTAAATCTTTGTTTTTTTCCTTATTAATAATACTTTTTTTATATTTTTTTAATTTAAATCACAAATTAGATTTTTATTTATTTTTTATTTAATTTTATATTATGATACATGTTTCGTATCGTATCATTTCATATAATATAGTATCGTATCGTTTAATACAAATTCCTTATCTATTATATCCCACGATCGTAATATGCAGTATCATATCATTTTTGTGAATCGTATCTGATAATTATGGTCTCTGTAATGTTATGATGGGCCACATTCGTGAAAGTATGGGCCAACACCTCCGAATGGTCTTAAGCCCTTTTTAGGGGACGGATACAAAGCACCCTAATTTACACTTTCGCATCTTTTGCTTCATCCAACCCAAAAAAATCAAAAATCAATCCAAAGTCTTTCTGAGGTGATGGCCACAGCTTCGGTGGTGCCGGCGAACCGGCGGCGAGCGCCGAACGCGGCGGAGGATCTGGACTTCGAGACGACGGAGGGCGTAAAGGCGATCGGTAGCTTCGAAGAGATGGGGATAAAGGACGATCTGTTACGAGGAATTTACCAATACGGGTTCGAGAAGCCCTCGGCTATTCAGCAACGCGCCGTCACGCCAATCATCCAGGGACGTGACGTCATCGCTCAGGCTCAATCGGGTACCGGAAAAACCTCCATGATCGGCCTCACCGTTTGCCAGGTCGTCGACACCTCTGTCAGAGAGTATGTTACTTTCTTTTCTTTAATTTCCTTTTTTGTTTTGTGTTTTTATTGTGTGGTACTGTATCTGTCTAAGCATTCGGGGAGTAAAAAAAAAGTATTGAATTTCTAGGTTTAGGGTTTTTTATTTCAGCCATGGGATTTTTTTAGGTTAATTAGGAATTTTGATTGATGTTTCTGCGATAATGGATAGTGTGAATTTAAGAAACCTAATACAACAAGAAATTTGAATGGGGGTTTGGGAATAGATTATTTTGTGGGAAATAATAGTTTTTTGTTTTTTAAGCTCTTTCTCATGAAGGAATTTGTTTTAATTAAAAACTTTTTTTTTGCCGAAAGTAAGGTAATTCAAAGATTATTATAATCTTATAGATGTGTTATTTATGATTTGCAATTTATGATTTATGAACAGGGTCCAGTCCTTAATCTTGTCACCAACGAGGGAACTGGCCTCTCAGACTGAAAAAGTTATATTGGCTATTGGGGATTTCATAAATATACAAGCACATGCATGCGTTGGAGGTAAAAGTGTAGGAGAAGATATAAGGAAGCTTGAGTATGGAGTTCATGTGGTGTCTGGAACACCTGGCCGAGTATGTGACATGATCAAGAGGAGAACTTTGCGCACCAGAGCTATAAAGATGCTAGTTCTAGTGAGTTCATTACTTCCACTTGCCAATACTTGATTGCATTTTTCTTTCTGTTGCTGTCAAGGACTATCTTATATTTTTTTTCTTTTTTATAACAGGATGAATCCGATGAAATGTTGAGCAGAGGGTTTAAAGACCAAATTTATGATGTTTATAGATATCTCCCACCAGACCTTCAGGTTCTCTTTTTGTCTCTGTTAATGTATTTTGAATGAAGATTCTGCAATTTGGAATCTTATTGTATGTTAAAACAAACTAAGGTGCATATTGATAGTTTTTGCCATGTAGATTTACTGTCTTGACTATAGCTTAAGGCATGACAATGAAAATAAACAAAATGATATTGAAAGTTGAAACAAACCAGGATTCCAAATCAGAAGAATTTTACCAATGAATAGGGATATGGGAGGTGTCTGGTGCGCATGTACTGGTTTGAAAATTGGATTTAGTGGCTTGACATCTTCCATAGACGTGACAATGAGGGGAAATGACAATGAAATCAAGCCAGAAATTCAAGTATGAATGGGGTTTTGATGACCCGGAATATGAGAAGTCTAAAACCTCAAGGAAGTTGAAGATTTGTTTGTCTGTGATTTGGATTAGTTGTTTTCATTGAAAACTAAGCCCCTAAAAATTAAAATCAGTGATGGGAGAGTTTTAAGTTAATCTTTTTACCAAAGAATAGAGTTGCTGCTTTTCTCCATAATAAGCAGCCAGCACTATCAATTAATTTTTGCACTATTCTTAAATGAAGTGACTTGGTGAGGAGATTCTTTTACAGGTTTTATAATTCCTGTTTTTTTATTCGGATTTTAAAGTTGTGCTGGCCAAATTACCAAAAGTTTACTTTTGTGGTTCTGTTTATAACTGAACTGATGCATCTTTCAGGATTCTTAGGCGTAGTTACTGAATTGATGTGTGTGCATGGTGCTCTTGCTGTAGACTTGTTAAACAATCTTGTCTGTATTCTTTCCAAAGCGTGATTAGTATTATGAAGTATATTGTAGTCTCTGTATCATTACGTTCTTACTGTGTAGGTTGTCTTGATTTCTGCTACCCTTCCTCATGAAATATTGGAGATCACAAATAAATTTATGACCGATCCAGTAAGGATCCTTGTAAAACGTGATGAATTGACATTGGAGGTGAGCAATTGTTTTCATTGTCTTAGTGCCTTTTTATTTTTAACTGGAAATTTTCACAATTGCCCCACTCCCAATGACAGGGCATCAAGCAATTTTTTGTTGCCGTTGAAAGGGAGGAATGGAAGTTTGATACTCTTTGTGATCTTTATGATACTCTCACCATCACTCAAGCTGTCATATTCTGTAACACTAAGCGAAAGGTAAATGAAAACTATAAAGGTTTTGTAGGATAGGCTTTCCATTTCATCTCACTTTGAAAATATGCTAATAATAGATTATTACATTCTGTACTATCTTTCTATATTTTCTCATTGTTATCTTGTTATCATTTTTTTGATGTTAATATTTATATCCTCTTGGAACAGGTGGACTGGTTAACTGAAAAAATGCGTAATAATAATTTCACCGTCTCGTCAATGCATGGCGACATGCCTCAGAAAGAAAGAGATGCAATTATGGCAGAATTCCGTGCTGGAACAACCCGTGTACTGATAACAACAGATGTTTGGGCTCGTGGCCTTGATGTACAGCAGGCAAGTTGTTACACTTTCTTTTCTTTTTTCCTTTTTTTTTTTTTTCCATCTATGCTTGGAGCAGTGGTATTATGGTTGTCAAGATTGAGATCTTGCCTAAGATAAGAATGGGTAGCTTGATCATAAATCATGGGATCGACACGGATCATAACATCCTACATTCCCAATTTTAATTATAAAAAATAATATTATGCATATAAAATAATATTTATATCACAACAATCATAAAAGATAGCAAATATAATAGACAACAAACTCCAAAAAGGGTTAAAATATACCTGTCAAAGTCAAACCACTCTTTCCAGAATTAATCTTCAAGCCAGAATGGTTCTAAACAAAATATTCCTCCAAATAAGAATAGTGCCATTTGGGAACTACAGCATGCTAACTGCTAAGCACAATGAAATCACTCCTAGAACTTAATAAAATGGAACCAATTCCAATGACAAAAGTAATTGCAAACGATAAACTTTAGTTCATTCCAATAACAGACAAGACCTCATGCAGAAGGAAAGGATCGCGAAGCCCATACCATCTAGTCCTTTGTGACTGAAAGGTCAAATGTTTGAATCAGGAAAACAGCCTCTTTGCAAATATGAAAAAGTAAGGCTGCGTGCTAGAATGCCCTCATTCCTACCCTCGCTAATCGTGGTTTAATGGGGAGTGTTTTCTTGTGTCACCCCTACATTTTATAGAAGTTCATTGATATCTCTTTATATAAAACAAATCTACTTAGATTCTTGAATAATCAATAGTACTTTTGCTTCCATTGTAACAAAAGATTCCCTTTTTATGTGGAAAAGGCCGGTATCAATAATTATGATTTTACGTATGGACAATTCCTCAATATCTTGTTCATTCGCAACAAATATTTTCCTTTATGTGGCAGTAAAAAATCATGTTTTTTTGGAGAGAGGTACTATTACACCAATCTAGTCACTGGTATATAGTAAATAATTGCTGACTTGATGAGAAGTGGGTGAATATTCTCTTAATGAATGTTTAATTTTATTGTATAATGACTTTTTAGTCTAACAATCATAGGAAATAGTATTTAGAGAGTGTTAATAGGCCCTGGCATTTCAAATTTTAGGGTTTTAACAAAATTTTAGCATTCTCATTGTAACTCTGAATTTCTGGTTCTTCCTTTGCTGATCATATGTCAGTTTATATTTAATTTTATTTCCGTTAGATATTGTTCTTAATTTATGCCTTGTTTGTGTGTGTTTTAATGTCTTGAGCAGTGTGAAGGTATGGGACTATAGGCTAATATAATAGCAATTTATATTTTGTTCTTAAGAAATGCAGTCAAATGAAATTCTTTTGTTATCAATTTGGCTAATATGAATTAAAGTTTATTGTGAAATTTTTCCGTTAATTCCTTGAGTTGGTATATGGAGGAATTAATTGTTGATATTGATCAACTAATTGCTTCTGTTACCAGGTTTCCCTAGTTATCAATTATGATCTTCCAAATAATCGAGAGCTTTACATTCATCGAATTGGACGCTCTGGACGTTTTGGACGCAAGGTATCTATATAGAATTTTTAAACTAGTCAAACTAATGTTTGAGGACTCTTAAGTAGTCACTTAGTTTTTCATACTGCAAACTTCGTTTTTTCCTTTAAGAGGTATCTGTTGATTCCTGTCCTTCTAGTACTCCCATTTGGGGTTTTCTGCTCTATGATGTATGTATTATATATACACATATGTATACATTTACTTATAGTTGGCCAAATCATGGTTTGCAGGGTGTGGCAATAAATTTTGTCAAGAGCGATGATATCAAGATCTTGAGAGACATTGAACAATATTACAGTACTCAGATTGATGAAATGCCCATGAATGTTGCGGATCTCATATAAAATGTCATGTGGTATGCTGCTGTGGAGTGGGTTTGTCATACCTTGTGATAGGGAGTAGTTTTTTAATGTGGTGTTTTGCTCTGGAATATTTGTGGATGTTACTTGTACTGAGATTCGGTCAATTAGAATTTTTTACTAGAATGGTCGACTGTACCAGTGTTAGTGTTTTTCTTTGCTGACACAGTTGAGATTAATGTGTAAATTGTGTTGAGTTGCATTCTTTAATGTATTACTCTTGATGTTGAATCTCTAATTTTATGCTTCTAACTTGGTTCTCTGATTATTTAGCTAATTTATTGGCTCACACATTTTCCTACTGTTAACTTATTTTAGCTGGTAAGGACTGGGATTTAAGAAAGCCTTACAAGAATTCAGTTTGGTATGCTTGTAAGGCAAACCTTTGTCTTGGATTTAACACTGATGCTGCTAAGTTCCAGATTTTCTTATTGGATGATTTCAGTTGCATGCATAATGTAATGATGGTGTATTCATAGGTGAGAATGGATGATGGATGGGTGCTGCGCTTGATTTTGAACTGAGCATGGCCTATTTTGGTGGAAGCAAAATAATACTTATCTGTGTAAGTCGGCATCTCTTCCTGGCTGTTGTGGGTTTCACTTAGGTTTCAGCCTCAATAAACGTTCGTCCATACCCTTCTCATTCAATGGGACCTCAAATTCATTCACTGTTTCCAGATTTGTGCTGAGAGAAGGGGGAGATCCTCCAGTTAACGAAGGAAAGAGGAAAAATATAGTGAGTGGTCCACGGGTGTAAATGGGCTCGGCTGGGCTTTGGCCTTCCTGGCTCAAGCTTATGTAAAAAAAAATTCAACCTATCTGGCCTATTAAAGGCTTTATTTGTAGGTCAAGCTCGGTTTATTTTTAAAAATAAGAAAGTCCGATATGGCCTGGACTTGTAGGTCTATCACTGTATATACTAAGCAAAGGAAATAATTGTATAGAGAAAAGAAGGTTTCATTCATTCATGCACTAATACTTCTAATAAGAAAAAAATAACAAACAAGAAAGAGTTAACATAATACCCTAGCTCTAGAATGTATATCATAGAGAAAGAGTCAAAGAAATGCGAAAAATAAGAAAAATACAATTATTGGGTGTTGAAATAAAGTCTACAAGAGAATGTCATTCATTTAAAAATTAGGGTTGGTATTCGTACTTTGCCATGCCACAAATAAATATTATTTTATTATTTTATTTTTAATAAATTAAATAGGCCAGCTTACAAGGCCTAGACTTGGCAAAATTGGCCTACGGATTATTTGTTAAAAAGGCTTTCTTAAAAGACTAAGCTTACTCTACTTTTTTGAAAGACCGGGCCAAGTCAGACTTAATGTAGGCCGAGCTGTAGGCCGGGCCGAGCCAACCTTACCCATTTACACCCCTAGATATGTCTAAATGGGATAGTGCTGTGAGAATTTTTTTTGAGTGGGAGCTCGAATCTCAAGTCCCAAGTTTCCTTCAATAAAATCACTTATATTTATCTTTTTTAAAAATAATGAATTTTATTATTTTTTTAATTATTTACACTTTTAATTCATTCAATGAGAAAAGAGAATAAAAAAGTTCGAAATTAGTTCAGAAACAAACGTTGATTGCAAACCTCCAAATTGTGTAATAATGACAAATTTCATATTTTGTTTTAAACAGTAATATTTTTTTATTTTCGTTTAGAAATAAATCAAATTTATTGGAATTTTAGTTATTTTCACTTTCAGTCATGTATTAAAAAAGACTATAAAAAGTTAGAATTTAATGAACAATGAAAATGCTCTGTTTTTTTTTTTTTTATAACATAAATACTCTGTTTTTTATTTTGATGGAAAGAGACAATAAATATAAAACGGTACAATATGTCATTTAAAATGATAAAATATTTTTTCATTTTATATTTACTTACTATTTTATATTTATAATCTAAGCTTTTTATTAAAATGCATTACAATATTTTCCACCTAAAAAAAATACATTATAAAATTTAATTTATACATTAAATAAAATGTAACAAAATAAAAAGAAAATCAGGAACAAAAAATGAATATAATTAATACGTTGTTCATAAATTTTTAATTACACATTGATTGAAAATATTATATTTTCTTACTACCTATCAATTTGATAAACAATATCACAAATTACGTAATAATTTGTTAACTGAAACCAATTTTATTATTTTTAAGAATATCATTTATTATTATATATTAAGCGTTATTACATTATTTTAATATGAATTAAACAATCAATCTAAAAATGAATGAAATTAATCAGGCAGTCATATTTTCTCTATATATTGAAAAGGATAATATAAATATCTTCTTGTTAAAATTCTATATAGATAACACGAATAGTTTTACTTAAACTTATTATTAAGTATTAACATTCAATTCAAGATTGAATTGTTGAAATTATGTTCTGACTGGCGTGTCCAGTGTGGTTATACTTCAACACCTTATGCAGGGTCATGAAGTTCCATAAAGTAAAAGCAAGAGTTGGACAAGATAATTATTTCTCTAGAGTATGTGTATATATATATGTCTCTGTTTTTGTGTCAGTATTTAATTTCCTGAGTGTTACCTTCTGACATTTCAAAGCGAAACCTCTTTTTACAGTGCTTCTAGCCAAACCATCTATTCAACTGTTATACATTTCTCATGAAGTTTCCAACCCCCCAAAAACAGTATTAAACTTGTATTGTGGCATGAATTGGGTCCATGCACTCCAGCCAATAGGATCAGTGCATTCATACCCCATGCATCCAGCATACAGAAGAAATCACATTGGCTGGGATCTATAGAAGATTTAGTTGTTTGACTAAGTTCTATCCTTTTTCCAATGAAATCTTCCAATTTCTTTTCTATCTTGAGACTTCCAATTTATTTTATACGTACGTTAAATTATTACTGAGTATCAAATTAAAAATGAAATCATTTGATATACTAAAAACTTACAAATTTTAACTTTTTAACCTTTTACTGCTTATTTTTTAATCAGCATACTTGTTAACACAAAAATAATAAAACTTTAAATACTAAAAAATAATAGTAATAAAACTTTCAACAAATAAGTTTAAATAATAAAATTTCTCCAATTTTTTAACAGTTATGATTTATGATCTTAAGTGTTGACTGTTGAGGGATGTATGTCTGCTGCATATCTCGGCCAATTATCATGTGAGATTTGGGCTATATACCTCTATTTATAATTACAACTAAATTTGTACCATGCATCTGAAGAATATTCAAAATAATATATAATACACAAAAATATTTTTGCATTACTGTAGATAAGTTATCGCTTTTACTTTCAAAACGATATTGTTTTGGAATTGAAAAATTAAAAAAATAATAATTATAAAGACTATAAAAATCCTAAAATAAATTAAAATTATAAAAACACCATTATTTCTGCCTCAAAACGACATCGTATTGGGCTTATTGCAGATAACTTATCTGTAGTAATTGCAGAAAAAATTAACCCTATATAATAATTCATTGTTAAAAGAACATATATTTATATTATTTTCATGACCGTCATAATTCTTATAATAATATAACACATACCATAAAAAATTATTTTGAATTAAGTTTTTTAAATAAGAAACTAATGCGAAGAAATCACAACTAGAAAAGTGTTTAATATCGACGAAAATTTTTGACGAAAAAAAATTCCGTTGAAATTATTGACGGAATTTTCCACGGAATCCGTTATTCGTCCAAAAATTCGACGGAAAAAGGATTCCGTCGAAACTTTTCGACAAATTTTTTGGACATTTCGACGGAATTATGATTCTGTCAAAGATATTCGACGAAAAAGGAATTCCGTCGAAAACTTTTGAAAAAAGAATAAAAGAAAAAGGAATTATATTTTTTGGATTTTTCGACAGAATTTTGATTCCTTCGAATAAATTCGACGGAAAAGGAATTTCGTCGAAAACTCTTCAAAATAAATAAAAGAAAAGAGAATTATATTTTTTGGATTTTTTTGACGGAATTTTCATTCCGTCGAAGAAATTCGACGAAAATGAAATTCCGTCGAAAACTTTTCAAAATAAATAAGAGAAAAAGAAATTACATTTTTGGACTTTTCGACGGAAATGGAATTCCGTCGAAAACTTTCCAAAATAAATAAAAGAAAAAAAATTACATTTTTGGACTTTTCGACGGAATTTTGATTCCGTCGAAGAAATTCGACGGAAATGAAATTTCGTCGAAAACTTTTCAAATTAAATAAAAGAAAAAGAAATTATATTTTTGGACTTTTCGATGGAATTTTGATTCCTTCGAAGAAATTCGACGGAAATGGAATTCCGTCTAAAACTTTTCAAAATAAATAAAAGAAAAAGAAATTACTTTTGTAGACTGGTCGACATAATTTTGATTCCGTCGAAGAAATTCGACGAAAAAGGAATTCTGTCGAAAACTTTTGAAAAAAAATAAAAGAAAAAGGAATTATATTTTTTGGATTTTTCGACAGAATTTTGATTCCTTCGAATAAATTCGACGGAAAAGGAATTTCGTCGAAAACTCTTCAAAATAAATAAAAGAAAAGAGAATTATATTTTTTGGATTTTTTTGACGGAATTTTGATTCCGTCGAAGAAATTCGACGAAAATGAAATTCCGTCGAAAACTTTTCAAAATAAATAAGAGAAAAAGAAATTACATTTTTGGACTTTTCGACGGAATTTTGATTCTGTTGAAGAAATTCGACGGAAAAAGAATTCCGTCGAAAACTTATGAAAAAAAATAAAAGAAAAAGGAATTATATTTTTTGGATTTTTCGACAGAAAAAAAATTTCGTCGAAAACTTTTCAAAATAAGTAAAAGAAAAAGAAATTACATTTTTGGACTTTTCGACGAAATTTTGATTCCGTCGAAGAAATTCGACGGAAAAGGAATTCCGTCGAAAACTTTTCAAAATAAATAAAATAAAAAGAAATTACAATTTTGGACTTTTCGACGAAATTTTGATTCTGTCGAAGAAATTCGACGGAAAAAGAATTCTGTCGAAAACTTTTGAAAAAAAATAAAAGAAAAAGGAATTATATTTTTTGGATTTTTCGACAGAATTTTGATTCCGTCGAAGAAATTCGACGGAAAACGAATTCTGTCAAAAAAATTTGAAAAAAAGGAAAAAAATTATATTTGTGTCTTTTCCACGGTTTGCAAAGTCAAATCTATCGAACTAATGACCTGCATTAATGGTTTTCAAATTCAATTCTATCTGTTTGTGTAATTTTTTTTTTAGAAAGTCAAAATTTGAAATTGTTAGTGTATAGGTGTCTTAGAGACAATTTGAGAGTCAGATGGACCCATTCAAAACAAATCAATTGGATTGATTGAATAAAATTAAGGAAACCAATTACTTAAATTAATTTACTGAAATTGGAAAAATCAATCGATTGGATAAAATTAGAGAAATTACCTAATAAGATTGTGATTTGACGAGGGCGCTGATTTGACCTAGTTTTAGGTGAGTGAGACACCACATCTATATATAACTCCTCCTCTTCTTTAATTTTATATCTCTTCTTCTCTTAATACACTTGTCTGCCACTAATTAATGCTGACATCTTTTCTCACTAACTATTTATATTATATATATATATATAAAATTAATTCATCTTATATTATTATTTTAATTTAACAGAGAAAATTAAGTTTAATTTGATGTATGATAAAATGTTCGTAAATAAAATGTTGGAAAATATAATTCATTGGAGAATTGATTAATTTATTGGGCTGGTATAACTTTAAGGGAAATATTTGATATATTATTATTGATTTTTTTATTTTGATTTATCGCACTAAATTTATAATTAGCACATAATAATTAATAAATTTATATATTACCTCAAAATTGTTAACAACATATTTATAATTACCATAAAATATATCATTATAATTTATAATTAGAAATTAATTATCCTTATACTCATATAATATAATCATTCTAAAATTTATTTAATTTTAAAATTTGATAAACCTTCCCTCCTAATTGGCTGAAATTATTTCCCACACTTTTGATTTTTTCACGATGATGGGTAGCATCAGAGAGGAGAAGCCCTAACATTCACAATCCCTTTGTCCTCTTCTCATTCTTCCCCCATCACTGCACTTGAGAACGAGGGTGTTCTCTCCGCTGGGTCCGCCATCGATGCCAAGTTCGGATTCTTGCGCCTCGATTTCCGGCAAAGCCCCATCGTTGGCACCGTTGAGTTATACGAATGCCGCCGCTTGTTCCTCTGATACAAGAACCCACCGGTCTGGCCACCAAGAATCGAGGCTCCAAGAACCCTCCGGAAGCTATGGCTCATCGTGGGTCCCTCTATCTTCAGCCGTGTTGCAGCAATCACCATGAACATTGTTACCCAAGCCTTCGGCCTCCTCGTAAGTCCTAAGTAACTCCAATGTATACAAAATTTTCTGTCCTGTTCTAATTTTTTCATTTTTTTTTAAATTTAAATAATTTAATTTAATTTCTCTGTTTTGTTTAGTTGGGGATGGTGAGCGCGTTGGAGACACTCCAATGTATACCCATTTTTATTAGTTAACCTTTAGATGAGTTTTACTTGTGTGCTTTATTATTTGAATTAATTACCACATTTGTTGCCAATATTTCTTGAATATTTGCAAAGTTTATTAGTAACCAATTAATTAAGCTTTCTTAGGAACTGATATTTAACAGCTACAAGACACTTGACGAGCGAGGTGCTGATGTGCACATTGTTGGAGGAGGGTGCATCACTTTGCAGTATATAAGTAACATCATCATACACTACATTTTTATTATGTTATGTAAAATATTTCTATTTATCCTTTTTTTGTTAGAATTTCTTTTTTAATTTGAAATTATCTATGATTTGCAGATCCATACCTGAACACTGATGCTAGAACCATGTCTCCTTTTGAGCATGGGGAGGTTTTTGTCTTAGATGATGGTGGTGAGGTAAATTAGTTTAGTAACCTAATTTTTTTTTCCTTTTTCTCATTTTACTTGAAAGTACAGCTATATATGTCTTTTGTTTGTTCACTCAGGTGATTGGGCCGGTTTAAGTTATAATTACAGAGGATAACTGTAATATTTTTTCTTTGAAGTTTTAGTTTGGAATTTTTATTCTTTCTTTTTCTCTGCATTGAAGGTTGATCTTGATCTTGGAAACTATGAAAGTTTTATTAATTCTTGCGTTGTAATTTTCCTTAGCAGGATTAGCTATACTCATTATTTTCCTTGCTTTCTTGAGCAAGATTTGTGGACAGCATGATAAAGAGTACATATTTTTTCTCTGTGTTCCTTGTTTTTCATTCATTTTAATTTAATTTAAAAAAACCCATGGATTTCGCAATATATTAACAACATTCCTTTTTGCTTGTATCTTTTATCATGCAGGTAAATAAATAAAATTAAGTTCGTGACATTCACTGGCATTCCAATCAAGGCTTCCGTTTGTTTCTGTCATGGATATGGTGATACTTGCACCTTCTTCGAAGGTTTGTCATTTTGTCATTACAAGAATTTGTTGTGAGAAGTATATGTTGTGCTATATGTTGTGCTATATGATAACTGAATTGTTACTAGTTATAAAGGAAGTTTACCCTCAAAGTGTATATTGGATTTACTATATTAAATATTGATACAGCTTGAGCTGTGTTTGCTTGCATTGGGAAGGAAAAAATGAAAACCACGATTAATTTGAAAACTGTAATGTCTCTCTCCAATCATATTCTTTGAGGGACTACGAAACCATAATGCTATCCGTAATGTCTCTGGTAAAATATAAAGAAAAATGCAATATTTCATAGAAGTTTAGTATCCACTCATGAGTGGAATCAATTTGAGAGTCTATTTTCCTAATCCTTTATGTTGTTTGAAATGGGGCTGAGAGTATAATGTGTCAAGTGAATGGGGCAAGGTGTCCTTCATGCACCAAAGCTCAATAATAATCTCAACTACCTTGGAACTCTTTCCTAGGCTGAGCATGGAATAATATTATCGAGATCAAGGTGCCATTTCAATGTTGTGTACTTAATGGTATCATATAAATGGCAAATATATATCTCCTTTGACTATATTTTTTTTCCTGCACTATATGTTTTTGTTTTCTGCTCTATTTTTTATGTTGCATTCTTGAGTTTATTCATGTACCTTGTTGAATCAAGTTTCTATATTTTAGTGGGTATCTTATCCTCCCCTAGTTGCACATTCCTCGTTTTTCTAATAACGTAACCACATAAGTGTTTCAGTTAGTTTAACTTTATATATATATATATATATATATTATAATTAACTTAACTTTTATATATATATATATAACGTAACATATATATAATAACTCAAGTTATATATATAACGTAACTATGCACACTTAGTCTCTTAAGTTACTTATTATGTTATTAATCAGGAACTTTTCCCACAGTGGACAGTTTTAAATTGGAAGATGATGCTCCTAATAAAGAAGAAGATAGTCAGAGACAGAGAAAAAAGCCAAAGAGGATTCAAGTCAAGGAGAGTCTTGACCAGGGATATTTCAAGTTTACCCACTTAAAATCATGATTCATGTGTATGAAGACGATGATTATGATCCTAAGTCTACAAAACTTATCACTCTAGGATTTGAGTACTTGAAGTTGAATATTGTATGTGTTGGAATAGAAGGATTATGTATTGATTTGAAGTTCAAAAAAGACTGAGAGTTGTTCTGTTGAATTATGAACTTAGTTTTGCATTGTATATTGACATTGTAAATTGTATAAGTCTTTTGTAATACTTAGCCTAATATATGATATTGACTTTTTGTGCATTTAATGTATTGATTTTGGACTTTTCATTTTGATTTGTTGTTTACTTTGATTATATATTTTTATCAGGTCTAGTACAGAAATTGGTATTAATTTTATAGAGAAAATTTTTAAAAAAAATTCTAAAATTTTGAGACAGAATTTGTTTTCCGTTGAAAATCTGTACGTAAGTTTTCGACGGAATTTCATTTATTTTCCGTTGAAAATCTTCGACGAAATTTATTTTTCGTCGAAAATTATTACAAGATTTTACGACGGAATTTCATTCATTTTTCGTTGAAAATTTTCGACGGAAAATTGTTTTTTGTCCAAAAATATTACCATATTTTTCGACGAAATTTCATTCATTTTCCGTCGAAAAATATTACTATATTTTTCGACGGAATTTCATTCATTTTTCGTCGAAAAATTTTGACGAAATTATTTTTCCGTCAAAACTTTCCACGAAAATTATTCCGTCAAAAATTTTCGACGAAATCTCTAATTTCGTCGAAAAAATCATTACTCACGAAGAGAAATTCGACGACTTCATTTCCGTCGAAATCATCATTTTCAACGAAATTTTTCCGTCAAAAAAATAGCATTTTTTAGTAGTGAATAGTATGTTAAATTACAGACACACATGGCGCACAAACAAATAAACACTTGTTTTAAATAAATATCATAATGTTCTGGGTTGTGTACTAGATTTATGGTGCGGTCCAACTAGCAATAGATTCAAATTCAAGTACAAATTCTGAATCTAGAACCTACAAATAGAGGAAAATATTTTAAGTAATCCTATCCCACCTACATTCATCCAATGAAAATATGATATCCGTGCTAATATGTTTCATGAGGATATTTTCGGGAATAAATAATATGTAATCTATCCACTAACTTATTTTTGAATGAGAATAGTACTCACTACTCAATGTGATGGAAGCAAAAAAAAAAAAATGCTCTCCAAAGGGAGGTTCTTTTAAGGTATGCACTCATATTTTGTCACACTCGCATTAGAAACAGAGAGTAACATTTGCTCATAAATAATTAAAATCATCTTACATGATATAAATATAGGGATGATCACTCCAAACAAAAAATAATCTCAATCAGTTCAAATATCCGTTGGATATCACTGACCGAACAAATACATTAATATCATAACATTTAGTTATAATAAAAAACATGAAGCACAAAAGTGAATATAATTTGAATATTAATTATTTTAATAATGAGAAATATATCACATAAACACACTTAATTTTAGTAAATACAATAATATGAGAATATTGATTGTAATATAAAACATGAAGCATAAAAATGAATATTAATTGTTTTAACAGTGAGAAATTTATCGTATAAATTTAAATTATCAAATTTAACATTAAAGGAACCATTTTAAAATAAATAATTCACATGCATGTAATTGACTGAGAATCGTATTAGCAAAGATCATTATAAGTAATAAATAAAGGATTGTTTATAATTAAAACGAATTTTATATTGTGAGGGCTGGTTGTTCTAGGCTTTGGTCAGCTCTCTCTTAGGTTTGACAATCTATAGAGGATAAAGTAATATGAGAGATAGCTACGTAATGGTGCTTTGGTATCCTTTTAGAAGGATATAGGTGGACGACGGGTTTGTAGCGTTTGCTTGATGAAGTGATCAAGCCCGGAAGTTGAAGTACTCAAGGTAGTATATGACTATATGAACGCTAATGCGGAGTGGCAAGTTGAGCTACCGCAGTCTTGGCTGCCTAAAATTATTTGTAACCAAAAATTTCGTCATAAATTTTGTCACAAATAATAATTTTTGACATAAATAATCAAATTTTGTCACCAATAAACTTGCGATGCAGGAATTTGTGATGAAATTTCATAAAATTTTGTCATTAATAAGATTTTTTCTTGTAGTGGAGGCTAGAAAATATGGCTTCAGTTATAGTAAAAAATTGCTACTCAATTCTTCAAAGGGTCACGACTGATGATGTTCACTTGCCCTGTCCGTTTTGGAGAAAGTGGTGGAATTGGAAAAACCCTATGCATATGAAAATTCTCCAATGAAAATTAGCTCATAGCAAATTACCTACCAAAGCATGAAGTGCTTATTGGTCTCATGGGAAAAGGTAGAAAGTTTGATGTATGTTGTTAGGGATTGCCCTATCATCAAAAGGATATGGGTGGCTCTTCTGCTTATGCCGGACAGAGAGTTATTCTTTGGAGCGAAGCTACATGAGTGGCTTTGGAATTATAAGGTGAAGGTTATATGTATGGCTCCTTGGACTACAATATTTGTAGTTGGCTATTGGCTAATATGGCATTGGCGTAATTTAGTTGCACATGACCAACCTTCTCCCCCCTTTACTCCACTCGCACTTGGCTGTGCTTGATTATGTGCAGCAAATGTGGGCTGCATTTGCAATAGACTCTTCTATCCTGGTTTCGCGTGACATTGTTTGGAGACTTCCTCCGGAGGAATTTACAAAAAGGAGCATCCCAAGGCAATCCGGGAGTTGTTGCTTGTAGTGGAGTTCTACAATATTCTAGTGGCAGCTAGAGAGGCAAGTATGCTTACATGATTAGTGCTTTGTTTAACATGGAATGCAAAATTGTTGGGTGTTCTAAAAGGATTTTGTCTAGCTTGGAGTAAGGGTGTCAGGAAGTTACTGCTGAAAGCAACTCTAGCTCTGTTGTCGCGTTGTTCACTAATCATAGTGAGAAAGTTTGTGAGCCATCCTTGGTGTCTTGAATATGATAATTGTTCAATCACAATTGGCAAGTTCATTTTATTCACACGTTGAGGGAGGCTAACTGCTGTGCTGATTAGCTGACAAATATTCTCTTGATCACTCGAACATGGATGACGAATGTGTTTTTTCAAATCCCCCTAGGCTTATCTTGTATCTGCTTGCGGGCTCCTTAGCTGAGGGGTGGTTGTTAGTTTCTTTCTTGATTTTTATAATTTCTTCATGTATACAAAAAAAAAATAGTTTTATAGGAAAAATCTAAATATAATAATGCCATGTAACATAGGACTGAATGTAATAAACCTTTTGTTTATATAATAACATTAGATCAAATGTAGAAACTAGGCCCATTATTTCTGCATATGTTTCATGACCTCTTCGTGGCCTACTTGCATTGTAAAATTTATAACAGTCCTAGAAGATCACTCCCACGATTGGTTCAGCGGTTTGTATGTGCTACGACGTTACCATAATTAATTACCTACGATCCAATAAGCTTGAATGGTGAAATCTCTTATCTAATATTAATACTGAATTCTTCTACCCACTCGAAGGTTCATGCAGCTTTCACTGCCCCATGCATAAAGTCTGTATTCTGTAAAGAACTACGATAAAACAAAAATTAGATCACTCGGGTACATTGATGTTTCCTCTAATATGGTAGCCGTCAAGGGTGTTTAAAATTCAAGTGCGAATGATAATCTCTCTTATTTTGAGCTCCTTTCGCCGCTGCCCAACAAAGGGTACAAAATTGTATGATGAATCTTGACGAGATCTGGTAGGTCAAATATTTTTGTTTTTTGTTTTTTTAATTTTTGCAAAACACCGCACCATAGGTTCTGTACTTGAATTAAAATCAACTCCTCTCACTAAAATTCAACTTTTTTTTTGTTTTTGTTAATGAAGCTGCCAGGCAAAGTTGTGCTCAAATTTATTTAACTTTTATTTTTTAAAAAAGAAATAAGGGTATGAAAGACTGAACTCTAAACCAATTGGTTAAAATTTAAAAAATAGGATAGCTTATTCTTACAACGATGTAAAAATAAAAATTCTTACATTAATATAAAAATAAAAAGTCCAAAGTCTTAATCATTAATTTACTTACATTTAATGGCTCACATATTTAATAAATTAAAATTATTATATATAAATAGAATCAACATCAAGATTGAAGATAAAACTTATATCGATGTAAAAAAATTCTTATGTCTTTTAAAATTATGTGATACAATTAAGTTACCAAAAATTTATGTCGTAGCTAAAAGTGTTTGTACGTATTATTTTTTTATTATATTATTTATTACAGAAGTGATAAGGGTTTGTATATCAAAAGTTTAAGTTATTAAATAATGCATGTATTATTTTTTATTATATTATCATCAATAAACGATAAAAAATGAGCTATTCATTGCTTAGTTATATGAACCCTGATGCTTACGAGTTAAATTAATTATTCCAAAAATTTAAGTTTGAAAGTTATGTTTTTTAAAAAGTTGAACTCTGATTAAGCAAAGGTTCAGTTAATCCATAGTGTGTCCCTCGGAAGTGAGGTTAAGGAGATTGACTCGGAGCAACTCCTATTTGCGGAAGCAAAGTAAACACTAGAAAGATAGAAAAAATAAAGAAGTACAAAAAAAATACACAGAGAACACAAAACAATTTTTAGCATAGAAAACCTCCTCAATGTGTGAAGTAAAAACCATATTTCATCCACTATAAAAACCATATTTCATCCACTATGAGAATATGATTATAAAAATGATCTCTCTAGTGAAAGATTAGAGGTTTACACACAAATAATTCATCCACTACGGATGATTTGCAATTATTTTATCTCTCCGCTTGGAGGATTTCTCTCTCATTTTTATGGTAGAACTCTATTTCTCTCTCTAGGAGGAGCTATCTCAAATGTTTATTTGAATACTTCAAGGCTTCTCTTCCTTCTCTATTTAAAGATGAACTTTGGGATAATTTTTCCAAGCCTAAATGATTAGGGAACAAACTAGGTATAAGACTTTTGAACAAAGTTGTCTTGAGCCATATACACATTTTGAGTCATGTGCACACCTAGAGCCATGTGCACCTTGAGCCATATGCAACCATATTTTAATTAATGAGGAAAAATACCTCCAAAAATTCTCCCCCTTTATGACCTAATTAGACTAGGTTATCATGTTGGTACCTTTGTAGCAGCCTTCAAATTTCCTTGTCAAAACAACCTTGGTCATCATGTCGGACCAATT